ACAGTTCAGATGATTTTTAAGAGTTTAGATGGTCAGTTCATTTTGAATGAACAAACAACTAATTTTTTTCTGCATAAAAAAGCATAAAAATAACAATTCTAGTATTGGAATGTATGCTTTCTCAGTACTTATCCCATTAAGGTCTGTGAAACATAATTGTAAACAAATTACCTGGCGGAAGTCTACTATTAGGTCTCTGCCTCTTTACTTGATACACAACATCTCGCTGACTTGACTGATATCCATAGGCTAGTTTCTCATCAGGACGCTGTCTTCGTATCCGTTGCATCCTTTCTTCACGCTCCTGATTCAAAGTAACACGTGTTAAGATGACCTACAGACCTAGTAATTTAATACTTTACAAATGAAACAACATTATTCAAAATCATGTGCAAACACATGATTAAGCAGAAGTGCGACGAAGGTTAATTGAATTCAACGATGTTTCAACAATGTTTTTTCCGTCCAAATTATAGCAATGAATAGTTAAAGTAATCACAAAGCAGCTGCCAAGTAGAACAGCAGAGAGACATTACAGCAATCATGAACCAATACTACAAAAGATGAAATAGAAGGAGATGCAATACCCACTTGGGACACACATTAGATTTTATTATGTAAGCAGAAAGAACTACAAGACTCAAAGGCATCCAACAATTTGAAACATTGATGGCCTCACTCGACTCTGAAAAAACTATTGCCAAAGCAAGGAGTCCAAACAAATTGCAGCATACTGAACAAAAGATTCTTGAGATTTCAAGAAGCAAGCTAATAACTAAGTAAAAGCATTTCATCCTATAAAGTAACTACATTTCAACAGCTTAAAATTACATGTTCCACAAAAAGTATCAAGTATGATTGTTGTCATCAGATAAGGGGTTTGCAACAAAGAGCTGCATGGAAAAATCTATATATATATATATGTATATATATATATACTAGCTAATAACATTTAATAAAACCTATTTAATTCTATGTATTTAAAATTACTTTTGATGTATAAGTGGCAATTTAACTCGTTTCCCTCCAAAAACTGTTACATTTGATGTATTTAATCTTTCATTTAATTATTAAATAATCAACACTAATCACTTCAAAATTATAAAAATCATTTTAAACTTTTGATTACTGACAGTTGACCATATAATGTGTTGACCGTATATTGTATATTGTGATTAGATGTTATTATTGTGGTTACATTTAATTTTTTTTTTAAATAAAAGACGTAATTAAAGTTCCTAAAAAATAATAAATAATTCATAAATAAAGAAGTACCAAAATATACATTACATCCAATCAGATAAACGTAATTTTAAAAAAAAAAAATATTCCAACTCCTTTGTAAATTTGGCCAGCAAAAAGGTGAAAAGAAAAATAATTAATCGTTATATGCATACATATAACTCATAACACTTTATTTACAACTGTGCAAATGCACATGATCGAATACTATTACTATTAGTAACTCCAACGAAGCCAGCACAAACATTGTATTAAAGAAAAGCCGAATATTCAACACAAACAGAGACAGTGTTTACCCTGCGTGAAATCTGAACTGCACTCTCGCCACGATCCACATGCTCGTTGTAGTCTGCATGTTCATATCGTACATTTTCCTCTTCTGATTGTGGCTCAGGAAACACATCGTCCTCTTCCGGTTCAGGGGATGCATTCAAGTCCATCCTGGCAATCATTCAAGTAAATCAGAAATATACCAGAGCAGAATATTCACCTTGTTTCTAAAATTATATCATAAAAAAAAAGAATATGAAAGGTAATATGATAAATAGATAATGCCAAATTACAATTGCCCCTCAACGAGAGCCGGAAAGCACAGTCCTATCTTTGGTAGCCAAAATACAAACTACTAAGTTCCATGAACACCAAGATATAAAATACTCGGTGTTCGCAGATTCTTCATTTAGCCGGAGCAAATCCTCCAAAACAATAACTTTTTAACCGATTCTCTTGCACAAAATCGTTAGTTCAATAACCAATAACTCAAATTACAGAAAGTTATTAGGAATACTCCATCAAAAGCTCCCGTCTTTACTTTTCTAGCAAAACAAAATGATGATAAGAAGAAGAAGAAGAAGAAGAAGAAGAAGAAGAAGAAGAAGAAATGGCCCATGACATCCCAATCATTTGAAGATATTTTGCAGAATCAAGCTCAATAAATCCGTCCACTAAAAGAGGGAAACAATGTAAACTGAAATCTCAGGCGGCAAATCCTCACCAGAAGACTTCGGGCCACCGCAAGCCAAGCTCAGATAGAACAAATTACAGAAAACCGCTTCCTTCAATTCCCAGCACGACTAAAACCCTAAAAATGACGAATCACATCGAACTCCAGCTTCACAAAAACCCTAGAGAGAGAAACATGCGCCCGTGCTTGAGGGGAGAGATAGAGATCGTTGCATATCAATCCATGAGATGAAATCGGAAAATTTTACAGAGCTATTATATACAGATGAATCCATGGCTGTACGTCTGTGTATATATAGGTTAAATTCGCTGGGTCAGTGTGGTGTTCTTGTGCAATTAATAACGTGAAACATGTAATAAGGGAAGAGTTGAAGGGTGAATGTGTAAATAAAGTTAATTGGGAATGAAGAGGCGATACAGTAATTTAGTTATTAATAGACATGGCCAAACTCGGGCCGGGTCGCCGGGCTCCAAAACAATGACCTATATCAGACACGGACCAATACTCATGCCGGATCAAAGGTCCAGTTGATCGGGCCAGGCCCGTTGTTTATTTAAAAATCATAGAAAGAAATGAAAAAAAATAAAAAAAACGGGTCATCCACCTGGCCCGGCCCGGCCGTCGAGCTAGATCATGAAATGGATGACCTTGACACGGCCCTTTGAAAATCCAGTCCGGTCTCGAACCTGTAGTCAACGGATTTGATCGGGTCGGGTCCGTGCCGGGTCGGCAGACCAGACGGTTCTTGGCCATATCTAGTTATTAAACTGTAGAAAGAAAATGAAAAAGGGACAAGTGAAATTTTCACATTTTCACTCCAAGATTTTCGAATGTCCTAATTATTAATACAATTATACTAATTAATATTATTATTTTTTTGGTACAAATTAATATTATGTTTATCAAATATGTGTGTGATCATTTTACTTTTTATTTAAGAAAATCAAAATAGAACATAGTAGGAAATGGGTTTAAGAGATATTTCTGCTAGAATTATGCATATACTAATATATTTGGTAGATTTAGCTTAAATGGATAATGGAATTTAAGAATAATGGATTTTCATAATGGTATGATTCAATAGATAATAAATTTAAGATGGGTGGATTTTCAAGAATGATATCACCTATTATAACTCTATAAACTTTATATTTGAAGCATAATTATGGAAGTATGTCATACAATATCTTTGATAGATTTAATTTAATAAATTAAGAGAGCTGGATTTTTTAGGTATGAATGATAACACCTATTGATATAGCCATACTATCGTGCCACGGCTCAGTAACCGCGGCATGGTCACAATCGGCTCATAGCGGTTCATATCATCATGGTTCGGAACTGCCAAAGTCGATTATAACACAGTCGACTCCGCCGGTAGGGTTTCATGGTATTCAATCAAGAAGCCCGGCTCTCGACCGAGTCGACATATATCCGTCGACTGGAACGAGTCGACATATGCCCCGACAGCGATCAGACGAATCAGGGACCATTAATGATGGAATGCGATCCAGTCGACTCGATTCGATACCTCAAGTCGACTGAAGGAGTCTTATAGTTCGAGGTGTCCGATAGCTTTGACACACCTCCGCATATTGAAGGAAAGTTAAGGATAAGAAGGAAGCTAAGGAAGGATCTAGATGCTGACTAGGAAGTAGGCGGAATATGAACCGACCGGGGCATTCTGGACATTTCCCTTAAGTCGGCCAGGGCATTTTGGGGACTTCAGGTATATATTGTACTCCTATATAAAGGACTGAGGTAATCCCAAAACCCTAACCCCCATTCATTCCATACATTTCTATTACTGCTGCTGCTCTGATAGCAGCTCCCATCATCTCTCTCACATACTGACTTGAGCGTCGGAGGCTCTACGCCGGAAAAACCCTCCGGCGTTGAGTTCTTGCAGGTGTTCGTGCGATTCAGCAACGGCTCGAAGGTCATCAGACCAGATCTAAGCTCGTTCATACCGGTTCATCCCAGATCCGGACGTTTTCCTACCAAACCGCTCCAGATCTGAGAGTAGACCCATCACCTATTGTATTTATATTGATGGTATATTTAAAGTTTAATTATGAAATCATGCCCTCATGGGGATATAGATTATCGGTAGATAGTTGAAAAATTAGTCTGATAAGTTAACTGATAGCAAAGTTAAATAGATAAGGAATTTAAGAGGGGGTGAATTTTCAAGAATGATAAGTGTGTAATTCTATAAATGAAAATTCATTTCATATAAAATTTATGTGATAAAATTAGCTAATAATCTCAGTGATTATTATTATTATTATTATTATTATTATTATTTGAGACACTATCTGAATAAAAAAAATAAGATAAGTTCAAACTTTTTAAAAGAATAGAATTCATTATTCAGCATGCAATTTATAAACTAATTAAATAACTTATAAATCAGTTCATAAGGAACGGATTTACTATGGGCCTGGGCTGGGCTTCAGCTCAAGCCTGTTAACTTTTACTATTTAACAATATGAAATTTAGATATTTGTTTTATTTGTTTAATTGTATTTATTTAAGATGGGAGATGATTTATTAGAAGATTATTTTATGCTCTTCATTAA